GAGTAATATGAATTGTGGAATACATACAACATCCTAGAATAATACTGTTCCTACAGTATCTTGTGCAGACAGCTTTCCCATAAACACAAAAGTGGGTTTAAATATAAGGCAAATGGACACTGGAGGCCACTAAAAAACTCACTTGTGTATTTCCCTTTATGAAGTAAAAGTCCAATTTGATTCAAGTGCTATAAAAGTAATGCTAACACATAACATTGTTTAGAATTATATTTTTAAAAAGCTTTTGTTATCAATGCTTGTTTGTCTGACAGTCTGTTTACATAATTTACATTTTTATTCTGAAAATAGATTTAAAAAGAAAAATTATTTCCAGAGAGACACTGTTTACTACAAGTCTTACTACAGTTGATTGAGCTGGTGCTTCAACAGAATTGTAGTCTGTTACTTAGTATAGCAGCCACTGTTTTTATAATCCTTAAAACAGTAGAATTCCCAAGGCAGATTTGTCAGGAAGCTGTAAACAAGTAACTTTCCAAGACTTATTGGCAATAAACATAGCAATCTTTAGTCCTTTAGGATTTAAATTTCTCTGCCAAACTGGAATTTTGGAAACTGTGAAACCTATTTTCAAATTAATACTCTGGAGCAGTTTGGAAACTTGTCTCTGAGGAAGACTCAAATTCTATTTCCAACCCAGACTCCTCAGAATTTGGGAGAAAATTAGGATAGGAATTTAAGTCTGAATGCTCCTGCATCTTAGCAGAAGCATTTTTCATAGCTGAGTGCATGAAGTATGAAGATTCCCAGAACAAGGTTTCAAGGTCCGCAGAAGAGTGAGGCATTTTAAGGTGGCTGTAAGAAGAATTAAATTCCATAGTAGATGAGACAGTTTGACATTTTCTTAGTGATGCAAAATTGTCTTTCCTGTTTAAAATAAGAAAAAAGAGAAAGATTATATTAGTGTTTCAATAAGATTTCTATTACTGTTCAGATGTCTGACAGGGAATCTTCATATATAGAAGAACACTAAAGGAAAATAGTTAATTCTAAATGCATTTACTGAGTGAGGACAAGAGGAAAAGAATCTTGTAATGATCATGTCTAAAAGAAGGGCACTCAGTCATTATGTGTTGTCCTCAGAAGTAGGTATAAAATAGTTACATTAAAAGTTACACCATTCTGATGATATCAGAAGGGTAGGCACAGTTTGTACCTTACCTCTTAAATACTCCTGATCTCCCCCCAGCTATCCACTTGGAATATTTGCTCATTTACCAATTGCAGTGCTAACTGAGCATAAATAAGAATAGTCTCAACATTGACAAGTTGAGTAGCAAATGCAGTAGTTCAACTTCCCAAATGCCATCTCTGCATTCCACTTTACAACTAGTTAATTATCACCAACCTGAACAGCTGAACAGAACTTTCCTACACTCTAAAACACCAGGTTAGTCTTTTCCAATTTGAGAAATAAGAAACTGAAGTTTTCACCAGAATACCCAGTTTTTTCTTTAAAGTTCTTTCTCCTCTTGCAGTGCTTTTGGGAGAAAACCCAAAACAACCCGCAACACGCCCTCTTACACACAAAAAACCCCAACTCACCATGCACACAGTTCAACACCAGTTTCCATACCTGAAGTTTAGGTGCACTAGAAGATACCATCCACCAGGTTAAGTTTCCTAAAAGGATTTTCAAACTGTAAACAGCGCAAGTTTTCATGAGATTTAAGTTTGATTCCAAAACAGAAGCTAGATCTGATGACACAAGGGGAAGAGCATAAAAAAAGGTGGGGAGGATTACTTTCTGCAAAAGCAGCAGCAAGTTCTTGGTGGATGCTGAAACAAAGTACAAGCCCACAAAGAGTCACCTGTAGAATACAATGCAGGATTCTACACACAGAGCCTTGGGACCTAGCTACCTGAAGAGGGAATCCACGTAAAGGAAAGCTTCAGAAAAGTTTGACAATGTAAACAGTTCAGAGGGAGCTATCACCTTGAAGTTACCATAAAAGCATACAGCAAAAGCCACATGACCACCATGTTCTGTTTCAGGGCCAAGAGTTTTCTCTTTCCACAAGAAGAGAAACAGTGTTTCTGGTTAATTGTCCAAATGACCAAATAACCCTTCTGAGAAGTTAGATCTGAGGCAGTCTTGTCATAGTGTGTCTTCCAAATGCCCATTTCAGATGAAGCGTCTCACAACTAATAAGGCAACATCAAGGAACAACATCAAGAAGATGCTAAATAAGGGTAAAAGCAAGAAGATGTCTATTCCTAAATTTATCGTGGAGAGGCATCAGAAATATTGTTAAGAAGGAAAAAAAGACACTTGAATACATGTGGTGTCCAATAACTGAAGAGATGACAGTAGGATGATAGTAAATATATACCAAGAACCTCATTTCTGCTCAGAGAGATGGTCTCAAAAGCCAGTTAGTGTTACACAAGAAAAGGCTTTAACTGATTTCAGAAAGGGAGAAGACAGGCTCTTTGTATACAGGAATTAAATGCTTCTGAATTCCGGATAAAACCAAATATTGTAAAAAGAAAATATCTCTACAACCTAATATTAAAGCCACCATTTAATACTTCCAGCGGGGGAAGAAAACCCAAGCTTCAACCTCATTAATTCTTCCTTAAGCCAGAACCTTTAACAGTAAGTTTGATTACTTTGTACTTCTAAGGGATGGAGCATATAAATTGGATCTTTCACTATGCCAATCCAGAACCTGGCAAAGCTTCTTATAAGGAAGTGGGATCAAGCAGTTCTTCTCAGACATATCAAACCTGCATTTCTGATGACTCAGCGTATAGCATTGCAAGGGCAAAAAAAAGAGCATCTTTGATCTTCCTCCTTATCTAACTTTATTACTAAAAACAGGAGGACAAAAGCTCAAGAACTCCTGGCTTGAATAAAAGGTCATTTTTCATTTTAATTTAAAAATGTGCTGTATATAGAACATGGCAATGCTTTAGTTGAAACAGCTGCTGCAGTTAGGAGTCTCCAGTGCTAAAGTTATCTCTTGGAAGCTTTTATGAAGTGCTTACGAATTCTGTTCGCTCCTAATAGCTTTTTGGGCTAATTTCTCTCCCCCTTCTTCTATCTCCTACCCAGCAACTCCAAGAGCTGAGACAATAATCAGAAAAAAAAATTGCAGTAAAATAGACATGACCTACTTTGCTGAAGTCGGGATTTATGCTTGTTCAAACCAAGTCTTAGGAGACTTCATATTTATAAGCATTTAGACCTCAGGAGACAGCCTGTGTTTCTCTACTTATAGAACTAATATGAGATAGCTGTGCAACTCTCTGTTCCAGCAATAAGTCCATTTTTAACCAGGAAAATCTAAGCTGAATATTGGTCATATTAATTTTGTGAAAGTTTGCAGAGTTCCTTAGGTAAATACAACACTCCCCAACAAAAACTGAAACAGTAATGGTATTCTTTGATTCACACTGGGGTGAGTTGTCACCAATCCCTCCGTACACATAGTGCAACAAAGTTTAACAGAAATAAAAAGTATGAAAGGCTAAACCTCACACCAGCTTGGTATGAGAAGCATAATGAACCTAGTTACAACTGGGTTTCTCTTCCACAGAAGTAGAGGTTCCTAAAAGTTTTCTGTATGTGTCTTACTTTAATTCTTCACAACTATCTTACCACCTCTCCTGTCCAGACCCCTAAGAATCTAGTCTTTCTCCCAGTGTTTTCCAGTTCCTATCTGTTAGAACTGATTTAGAACATCTTGAGCAACCTTTTCCTCCTCTTTTCTTCCCGTTTGCTCCAGCTACTGTGGAGCAGAGAAGAAACAAGATCTCTGTTCTCAGTCCAATGCCTGTTCCATAATCCACCCCTCTTCCTAAAAAGCGTAAGCCTACCAACAGGCAACACCTCTTCACCTACAATATATAGCAGTCATTGATCAGTTATAAAAAAGAAGCACCAGAAAACATACTTAAGAAACAATGCTAAGGATTAGAAGCAGTGAGAACTGTTTTGTGTTACCTGTGAGAAAATTATTAAATCCTGTTTTAAGAGAGAAACTTACTAGTACTTGAAGCTCTGACAAAAAAAGAGAGAATTTCCAAAAATGCATCATTTGCATACAGCAGCACTCCACTTTACCTGGATGTACAGAACAGCTTGCTTTTAGCCTGTGAATAAACTGTACCAGCAATCCGACAAAGCTGTTCTTGCATCCATCGAACATCAGCAGGCATGTCAGGAAACCAGTTTACTAACCTACAATCAAAACCACAATATACTTGTTGTTTTGTAAGCACTAGATCCAGTCTGCATTATAGGCTTACATACCCCATCCAACATCCAAGGAAAATAACACAGCTTTCATTCTCCCCAAGTTAACTCCCCCACCAAAGTCTCCAGGTCTTCCCAACCTCTCTAAATCTCCATCTAGTCCACTCATTGCTTTTCTACAAGCTAAGAAAAAAGGCAGCACAGACCACTGCATCTCTGATCTGTGCTGAGCATTTGACCAGTATACGCATTCCACACCTTGGTGACCAATGTTTAGGAAGCCTGAAAAAATTCCTGTTTCTGAGACCTCTTTCTGTGTGGTGGGAACTCTCTGGTCAGTTTACAGGTAGGTGGGAAAAGAAGGAGGAACAAAAGAAAAGCACAATGGAAGAACAAATAGAAGGCAGAAACATAACAAAGTCACAAATGTATTTTTTCTTTATGACACTCTTAACAGAAGTCAGTTACACCGGAGGGGGACAAGGGGCAAAAAACCCCATTAACATTCTGTTGAAACTTGCTTCCTCCCAATCCACCAAAAAAATGGCACAGAAACTAAATATTTTACTGAAGTTACAGGTGGTTCAATTTACAGAACATTTTCAATTATTTTCTAAAGATAGTAATGACACCTGCTGTTCAAGGACTGGAATTCTTTTAAGCAAGCGCAAAGCTTAGGGCTCATGGTGCATTCATTTAGCATGATTTCTCCTTTATGAGAATCGAAAAACTTTAAAAAATTAAAGGCCTGTTTCAAGAGCACAACTTTCAGTCAACCTAAACAAACCTGGTAAGAAAATTTATACAATGAGCAAACACTAGATTTAACTCCTGACTTCAGAAAGAAGGTAAAGTACAAGAACTACCTGGATAGAGTTCAAATACCGCTGCAGAATATAGTAATATAGAATGGGCTCATGGAAAACACAATTAAGGGTGCTTCTTTTGAGCAATTAAGAGACAGCTAGTAGTAAAAGCAGAAGATTGTTTAGAAATCTTCTTAATATGTTTATTTATCTAGCCTTAGACTATAGAGGCTTTAGGATGATTCATTATGTAGGTAGAAATAATGGCTTTTGGACAGTTATCACTTGAATTCTTGAGTACCAGAATGCCTACAACACTGAGTAAGCTCTCAATGAGTAAACTTCCAGAAGTGTAATAATTCTAAAGTGTTTCATTAAAAGTTTCTTACCGTAAAGCAACAGAGTAAGCAGACTCCACTGGCAGTGTATATGGTAGCATCAGATACGATATCACCCGCATTGGGAAGAGTTTAGAGAACTGAGCGTAGAATCCATTCTGTTCTTTACAAGCTTCCTGCAGTGCTTCAGAATATTTTTTAAAAAGATGTCAGACTATTTGAAAACAGTTTAAATAATTTGCTCAAAATCAAGTAATCTTCAGTCAACATTATCAAGTGTTAAATGAATAAGGCTCAGACAGAAAATGAAATAATTCATCTCAAGATACTCTTACAATAAACTTTCCTTATGTTACTTTAAAACATGGGAAATGGACCCATACTATAGGGACTAAAGGCATTACGCTGAACTTTTAAGCAATAAGTCTAAGAATTAATTTACCTCTCCAAAAATACTTATGTATTTTAGATCACATTGCTGTCTTGTTACAGACTCTAACGAAGGAGTTTGTTTAAATTCTAGAGTTATGCACATTCCAATTGTTACAATTGTTATATAGTTGCAAGAAATATCATACTTCAAACTTTTTCTCCTAGGTCACTGGATCACAAGTTTTAAATCTTGAAAATAGCCATCAGCATCCACAAAAAAAACCTAGGTAAAAGTTATAAAGAAATAACAGAAGTGGGTTTGGTCTATTAACAGCTTATTAAAAGTACAGAAAAACCAGGGGATTAGAAATATACAGAAGTCTGTTTTAAAAATAAGACAGGGACAACCTGTGTTTTGATTTGAGGTTCAACTTCAGTGTGAAATATATGCTTACAAAAATACTGTGCACATACAAAGTTTTTATGAGAATGAGAATTCAATTCACGACTCCACAGTATTGAAAGTAGCTCTTTTCTCCTGCTTCCATCTTATTTCTGTAGCTAAATCAAAATGTACATGTTCAGATTCAGTGAGTACTTAAAGAACTTTTTTGGGTTGAGCTTTGGAATTTCACAGGCACTTATAAGATTAAACAGAAAGCATCTTATGCAAATTGTAAGAGTAAGCAGGGGAAAAATAAATCAAAGTTTGCCATTCAAAGTTACAGGGAACAGTCTGAAGAATGTACCTTTACGAAGTCTGGGAGGTAGACTCTCAAATATGCTCTTCTCCAAAGGCCATGGATTTTGCTTCAGCTGGTCGTTAAGTACTTCCGTTTTCAAAGTTTCTACTCCATTATTTTCTGTCAATTTCTTTTTCTTCATATGGTCAATGTGTTGCACAGCCTCATTAGGATTTCTTTTTGTGAGGGACAAGTGGATATAAATTGAGTCCTTCAGAATACCTGAAAGAGTCAAGAGCTTACACTTAATCTTGATCCACATGTCTTCAGAGTACCTGTACGATACCTGCAACCTGTGTATCTGTACAAAGACCTATCCTGAGGGAACATTATTTACCCAATGTCAAATACACTTGCTCTTATAATCCCACAAACTGGTACTGATAATTACCTTAGAAACAAGCACTAGATAGTAAGCACAAAGTGAAAAATACAAGAAAGGCATTTATACCCAGTTTTCAGAAAATTGTTATAGTTATTTACATATAAAGACTACCAAATCTGACTAGGATCCATGCCTACATACAACAGAATCCATATCCTACTTACAAATACTCCTTTGGAAAGGTTATAATTATCATCAAGACAAACCTGTGACAGAGTAAGGACAAAGGTGATCACAGGATCAGTGGTGTGAAAGAGGAGGACAATAGTGCAATACACAGAGGATGTGGGGGACAGACACCAAGGAAGAGCTGCAAGGAATCTCAGATATTAGTGTCAGATGGAAACATGCACACAGGAAACCGTTGGGTGCAGTACAGCAACAGAAATCATCTTAGCACAGACAACCACCAATTATAGGCTCTTTGTATAGCTTGTGCTTTTAATCACCTGGTTAAAGGTATAAAGCAGGACTCTCATTAAATATTTAATAATATTTATAGAAAAATACACTCCTAAGCAGAACTATGACGTTCTTTAACAGTAAGAAAATTGTTCCAAGAGAACTTGAGTATTTAGTGTTTAGTTATAACAGAGTATAAGCAGTGAGTACATCAAGCTATGACTGCATTACAATACTGCAGCTAGTACTATCTGTAATAGTGCAAACATCACATTTCAGTTTCCATTCCTCTAATCCAACCCAGCACCAATTTGCTTCTGCATACAAAGACTACAGAGGCTAGGCATATTTAACACATGGTTAAATGCATGCTAATATCAAGTTACTGTCTTTAGCTTGTTTGTCTCAAAGTGTGCAGAGCAATAACATTTATTAATATAAAATATGTTACTAGAATTCTAGGAGTAGAGAGGAGCAACTTTCAATTCTTCTTCCTAAATTTATCTGGGTCCCAACAACTGCTACATGACAAGTAGTCATCTTCTAAAGTTTTTAATGATACAGACTAAGGATTTGTCTATGACAGTTTATATTGTTGCTGGCCAGCTCCCAGTTCTGGACTATAAAGCTTTACCTAGAAATTCACTTGGATGATAGCAGAGAGGAGGTGATAAGAAGACACAGGTTTCACAGGAGTGGGAAACAATAGCCTATCCCTATCCCTCATTATTAAGACAGAAGAAACAAGTAATATTATTTCCCTAGAATTGGATTTCTTTGGTAATTTCACTTAACAATACCTTAACATTCACTTTGCACAAATTTGACAAAAACCCACAAGGTTCATTTCCGCAAAACGTACCTCAAGTGAATAGTCAGTGTAACTATGTGATTTCTACAAGAACTAAACTTATCACGATCCCTTCAAAAACCTCAAACACCTAGCCCCTTCTTAGCTACATACAACCCCCTCACCTCTTTTTCTTTTTTATTTTAGACTCAGGTTAAGACGACATCATCAATAACTATCCACAAGTGTAACATACCATTCTCTTTTAAGAATTTAAGAGCATCTGAATATCCTTGCTCACAGATCTCTCCAAGTACCTGCAAGCATAGGGTAAATGGGTCAGACAAATAAAAGGAGATTCAACTTAAGATCAACAATTTCCAGAATGAAAAGCCACTTCCATCCACCCTCCATTCTTGTAAGAAAAATTTACATTAACAATTGCAATAGCTCAACAGATTCAGGTTCATGCGCCTACTGTGATGACACAGACATGATCACGCGTACATGAACTTATCTTTCAGCTATTACAGATGCACTGAATTATTCACCTGAAAGGACAGCATTCTAACAGTTTACAAGAATTTTCTCCCCTCTTGTTACTTTGACTAGCCTTTCAGCAGATACAAGCAACAATGAAACAGGGTGGCTTGGAGTATGCCAATTCCCCACCTTCCCTCCCAGTGCTTCCCACCTCCCAAAACTACGAAAGGTCTGTGCAATTCTCATGCTCAAATTCAGACTTAGTCTTCCATATGAAAACATCTTTCACCAGATGCAAAACCAGCTCACCTACACAGTAGTCCTAGACAAAAATAAATAAAAAAATTAAAGCCTACATAAGTAGAATGTAACATGTTTCTTCAAGTGGGCAAAAAGCCCTCAATTAAAAATATGTATATATAGCAGTCAGGAACATTACTTCTCTGCTGTAGTATATCCCAAGCCAATTGGCAAAGGCAGTTTTCATTTTTTCAGCTTCCACAATGGCAATTCAAGAGCACTTCCCTGATCTGTAGCTAATAGCACTTAAACTTTAACGGCAACATGCCTGTGTGAAGTATTAATTGAGAACTTTACAAAACCATGAAGCTTTAGAACTTTTAAGTTGTGAAGCACCTGGTTAGCAGGTAAACATGAAAGGACTACAAACTGACAGTTATTAATTTACCAATGTTGATTTTATGATAGAATCCTGTGCTAATTCCCAAATAAATACTGAAAGCCAATAGCAGGACATGCATTTTTAGTCTCAGAGAGACTAAAAATAAGGACATTGAAAACAAACTATGAAGAAATACAAACAAGAACAGAAATGTCACCAGAAAAGTTTATATGAAATATAAATACAGAAATATAAAAATATAACTATGCTATGCATATAAAGATATAATAATATAA